AGGGGTTTCGAACCCTCTGGGCTTTAAAACAGATATTCACTAAGTTAGATACAATCATGTTCACCACAGTATGCACATCCTTAGTGAGAAGTAAGCTTGAGGACTGCGTTCACGCTCCAAGCCCCTGTATAAAAGTCATCAATACTTGGAAACTGCTGCCCGAAGCAGTGGTGTCCGCACCTTCAATCGGCACTCTGAAGAAAAGACTGGACACTCACAGAAACATACTAGAAAAAGAGCAACATAGGCCGTAGGCCTTCTGTCCTTACTACACAAATCTGAATCTGAATTACAAAACTGTTAACCAGTACTTACTTTTTTATGCGGTATTTTGGCTTTGTCAGGATAACATGAAACTGGTATTGAGAGATTACTCACAGTATAATCCATGACTGAATTTGCACCACAACATTTATGCTTTTGAAAAACACATGAATTACAAAACAGTTTCTTTTCAAGTGTAATTTACCTCCAATTGTATTGTGTTCACAAATGCTGCATAACTATTTTTCCTAGTATACTGGTTGATAGAATCTTTGATGATACCTCGAAACATCATATCCATCTAAGTATTGAACAAACCGTATTAAACAAGTGTTTATAATATGAGTATGAAACATTCACTTGATTAAAACCATTACCTTTTTACGCAAAATGGATGTCGTTACAATAACAATGATACTGATTGATGCAGCCACTATCAACAGTACTGTATACTGTAATCATAAATAAATAACAAAATTAGTATTAGTTCACAACAGCATTCAACTTTACAAGTGCATTAATTCTTCGACGTCCAGTGAAAACGAATAATATACCAATACTACCAAGTGAGAACAAAAGACATCCAAGTGCCATCATGATAAATGTCAATGATAACATATGAACTGGCATATTACGTAAAAATGTACTCAGAAATAGATGTACATAACTGCCCATAACAATTAAACATGTACCAAATACCTGCAAAAATACAAAGAAATAAATAGTATTTGAAACAATTAGTCCCTTTGATAAACTTCGATCATACAATGAGAAGACGTGAGACATTTCGAAAAAAACTGATCACACATAATGTACTTGTTAAGACATTTTCATGTGAAAATTAAAAGGTCAACTAGACAGGTTAAAGGTAAGTCGTATTAAAGAAAAAATATATTAAGGTAAACCAAAACAATGTGATTACCACTTTGGATAATAAATCAGTATTACCAGGGGAGGTGTTAAGTGTTAAGGACACATTGTCTTCGAATGCATAAAGAGGGTTTCAGTTTCCGTGTAGTGAAGGCTTCAAAGAACCCTAATATACGTCATTGCAGGCTTTCGTACAACACTACAAAAGATGATTTGATGCTATCCTTATGACCAGTCTCAATCAATTGTTTCGCAATGGAGGATAATGTCTATCGATCCTGTGATCTTATTTGACCACGTGTGATCAGAGTGTTCGAAGTGTATTGCACAAATAGATCATCACATAATTCTGATAAACTTTGTCTTCTCATTGCATTAGCGAAATAAGCAGTAATCAAGGTAATAAAGTTCTAGTGAGAAGCACTGACCAGTGGGGTTCAATCAGGTCTGTTCTGAGATAGTTACTCACTGATGACAATGGTAGATGTGTCGCTCAATGTCGTGGATTAGTTGAAGTTAGACACTAACACCGTTGGATGCCGGCCGTCTCATTGGTCTAATGGTTAAGCACTCGCGTACGAGACTGATAGGTCCTGGTTTCGAACATCGATCGTGGAAGCGCACTGCTGAGGAGTTCCAAAGTAGGACGAAACGGCCTTCCAATACTTCCAGGTGTTCCATGGTGGCCTAGCTTCAACTGACTCATGATGTCAACCATTGAAATAAATAAACAATAATTAGACACTATGCATGATGTTTATGACAACAAAACACTTACCAAATTTAATGAATTAGACACAATTAAAAATCTCTTCAACCATTTGTACTGACATTCTACTGATTGTTTCTTACACATTCTGATATACAATGGTAGATATATGCAATAATTCCTCAAGTTGATTTCATCCAATTCACTGTGTCTTTTCTGTTCTTTTTCTTTACTTTATGGTCAACCATATAATATGAAATGTCAAATCATACTTTACTTTATTCTTATTAACTTCCATAATAATTTTATACTTATATATTTGATTTATGCTCATCATTGATTTCTTTCATAGATTAGTAACCTTGATATATTGTGGAATGTGTAGAATGGATACAATATAGAATTTATCTAATCACTAATTGGATCCATGTCAAAGAATTCTGTGTCAATAATTACCGATTTATCTTATTGTCTATAAAATATTTAAACGGAAAAATTTCAAAAGACTAAAAATAACAATAACCACAACAAAAAGAAAGAAAGAAAACAGAAAGAAAACTTTGTTCAAGTTCATTCACACTCATTATAAACTAAATATTTCACTTACACCTTCAAATAATCTAATATCATCATTATGTAATTCCATTTTATTATTAATATTTCTTCTTTAATGTATTTTTACGATGTAATTAGTATATAATGAGATGAACTATGATATAATTAGAATTATTCATAATAATCTATTATCATCTCATTATTAATGATGAACAGTATTTCAATGTTTATCGTAGTATATTTCACTATGGTTGAAATGTTGATCTTATGAATGAAGAATATTCATTTCAAGAAATTTTCTTCATTTTCTATAGTTATATATTTGAATGAATAAATCAAATTCAAGGAAAAGATTATGAGATTACTCACTTACTTACTTACGCCTGTTACTCCAGATGGAGCATAGTCCACCGACCAGCATTCTCTTTGGTCTTCCTCTTCTCTTTATTCAGCGTTGAGGATTCCAAGAGATGGCTTGCATTGCGACACAGTCAGATGTCATTCCGAATCGAATAGATTTATAAACAATAACCTATTAACACACATATATTGGTAATTTCCTGTCTCCATGCTCACACTAGCATCTGACGTGCGTTTGTTCCAGGTTCCAGATTGTTAGTCACAGAATGACTGTCAACAGTTATCCGCTAGCCATTCATACAAAGGGAGCTCAAGACCACTGAGAAGTGATCAAAATATGATATTTAGGCATTTCAGTGCTCTCCTACATGACCCGTTATTAAGTTTAAGACTTGAGCAACAGGCTGTAAATCTACATATCTTTATTTAGTTTGAACTAACCAGCAAGGTTTCCTATAAATCTTTGTCGAAATCTTCACACATGTTTCAACTCAAACTTACTCTATCCAGTGTCCGAGTCAGAGACTTCTTCGAGGCTGTTTGGACTACTGGTTTTCTCCTATAGGACTAATATATCAACATTGATTGACCGTTCTTAAGTAACCGCTATCATGTTTCTGCAATCTTGTAGTGATGGTCGAGCCCTATGTGACTACCACTCTCAGTGATCCAATATTATGTTATACTCTGTTCCGTAGTAAACAGCTTTCACCAACAGTAGATTCTTATACACTGCCTATTCTTAAAACGAATGTTCAATCAGTCGTCGGTTTTTCATGTTTTAATTGAGGTTGTTACAGGTGGTTTCATTATTCTAAATTTTAAAAAATATAGGCGGTTAAGCATTAATTCGCAAGAATTTCATACTGTGACAACATTCGTATACTTATATAGTTAAATATACCCATTACGTACTATTTCTGTTAATATGTCGCTTCGAAAGACCGACATAATTTCATTAAAACGAAGTGCCACAGATCGAATCCATTTTCGTAATCATGTTAAACTTTGATTGTCAATTAATTGAAATAAACATACTGTTCGTATTTTTAAAGGAAATTGAATAGTAAATGATGCATATTCCATTAATGAATTTGTGAATTAAGATCTCACTGTAATTACACACCTTTTGGTTTTTATTGGCTGCATAGACAAAGTTGATCTCTGATGAGAAACTTCACTTTTGCTGTTCTAGACTGAATTACGGAGGAGTTTTATAAATTTTCATCGTACATCTTCTAAAACAACTCTAACACTTAGAAGGAAAAGGATAAATGATGACGGTTTTCCTTCACGGCTAACTCGAAAAGATATCAAATCTTTCAAATCCATTTCATAAACATAAATGTTGTCCTATTGATTCGCTGTAATTACAATCATGTCATCTAGTGATTTAGTCTGGATTTAGTCTGCTATCTCTCATATTTGATTTCGCTCTCACGGCTAATTGGATAAAGGAGGTTTAGGAGTCGTGATGGTTGAGATTTGCACTGTTGAATACTATTAGCAAAATGTGCATCAAATGGCAGTATACTACCGCCGCTCATCATGTTTTTCTCTGAAGCAAAAGAAATAGGAACACAGCACTTGGATTCATAAACAGGGGCTTTTTCATGACCATCATTACAGATTTATTGTAGTTAAATAACTATTGAAAATCAGTAAGCACTCGGTATCTGTTCCGTACAGACATGTGACTCCTTAGCAGTGCTCGTCCACTGGTGACCAAACACCAGACACTTGGTCCCATACACAGACGTACATTTATCTCGTAATACAAGTAGAGTGGTTTTAAATTACGGACACTGTTTTCTCTCACTCTATCCAAACCTTTTTATTTGATATATTCCAGTGTTTCAGTCCTAATTCTTAGCTATTCGAGTGAGTTCAAAATCTTTAAGATGATCGGAGTTTTAATGAGTAAAATAATCAAAATTATTGACATTATCGTAACACTATTTGTCAATAAGTTGTTTTATTTAGAACTAGTTCGGATCCTTCTAATCTATGTTTATTGTTTGTCAAATGTGAAGTTACAGAAGTAGTAGAATGTGAAGTGTCTATACACTTTGCTGACATAACTCCACATTTGGTAAGAAGCAGCGTGTCAGTTTAATTCATTTAAACAATCAATAAAGGCAAGTGAAAAGATAAGTCTCGAAAACATTGTTTAGATTTAATATTTTCCGTCAATATTATAATCTTAATTACAGTAACTTTGGGTTATTCATAATTGTTTAGAATGTTTATTGAACAAAATACAAGACTCCATTCTTTGCTCAATAAATGACAGTGAAGTAAAAAACGAGGAAAAAAGTTTAATTATGCCAAGTTGAAAGCTGTCAAAAAATCAAATATAGCGTTCACAACTTTAAATACTCTAGTCTTGTCCGTAATTGCCAGATTTGATAGCTTGAATAACACAGATGGCAAAAACAATACACGACAATTGGAGGATGGCAAATACAAATACCGCTACTAAAACGGCAATAATATACTTTTCAAAGAAGTCGATTACTTTGCATGAACAACCCTGAAATTAAAAAGAATATTATTACGTTTGACTAAAATAGAGATCAAGTTTCAGGAAATAATTGCCCTATTTCTGATGTTAGAGGTCAAAATCTTTTAACGTCGGGTGGGTGGTATCCTGGAAACATGGTCTGTGTTTTGAAAATGACCGAAGATAGTGTGCGATATCCATGGCTGACTCAGAGTGTTGGTCATCAGTTTAAATAATCACCTATGTTTATACCATGCCTCACCCAGAAACAGCGTACTCTAGTAGCAAGCAAGCAAGCAAGGAAAACATTTGTGATTTGATGTGCTCTTCAGACAAATGCAAACCTCACTGGTCAAGATTATCTATCCACTACTGTGAAAAGTAAAAGCGTGAGTTGAACCACACTAATAACGATCAAACATATTTGTCGTCGTATTGTAATTTTACTAAAACAATTTCCAAACTGTAAACAAAGCCGAATATCAAAGATTTTTAACGTGTTTTAAAATTAATTGGTGATGGTTCTAATATCTACACATTAGTGATAGGTCGAATATCCCAAAAGTTGCGTAGATATTTGCAATCTTCATGTGGTTCTGTGTAAATTAGCAGTTACTTTAGGATTAGGTTTATTTGACTGCAATCATCCTAAGGTACTTCCTGAGTCTGAAATCTCGCGGCGTAGGTCAAAAAACCTCCTATCCTATTCGTATCACTGAAGAAAGCAAACAGAAGATCATGTTCACAACTCCAGGAAACAGTAAGTCCTGAGTAGTCACGTTGGCTGAAGATAGTAATACTTTAAAATTGACTGTTAATAGGCATTTCGTAAAGTATTTAATCGAGATTCCAAGCTTGTACAAACATTCAAAACAGTTCATCATTGGGATTTGATAGATTAGCTTTCACTCATGCACAAAGATTGTAGTTTTCACTTTTCCGTTGCTCGTTATTATTTCAACACATTTTATAGGTTTAAACACCATGCAAATAGCTAATACAAGAGATGTAATAATACCAATTGGTATAGTAGAGCATCCGATCCTACTCCCACATCACATCTCACGGGTTTTTGAAAAAATACAAAACCTAATAAAATATTTTGACAGCAAAACAAAATTTATTTCAACTTACATCTAAGTATATAATCTTAGTTTCTGGATTTTTACATGAATCAGGGATGGTTTGCTTAGTCGATATGTAGTCCTTTGGCGATTCAGAGCCGCAACAATGAAACTGCAAAATAAACTACGTTTTGTAATGATGTACCTCTGTTTGTATCTTATCTAAGAGTTTCTTCAAGTCCGGATTCTTGCTAAATTCAGAAACGGAGCTTTTAATCAGAGATTGGAATTGAGCTTTTACGTCTTTTCTTAGCACAGCTGCCGCTACTCCTCCCGCTATTTCGATCAGCACAATGGCTGACAGTAGAGAGGTGTACTTGGTTTTTAAAATTAGTGTATATAGCAACTTACCAAGATTAGACAGAAAGTATTCTTGGTAACCAATCCAAAAAACCCAAGAAATCCAAACACAACTAGGAAGCATCCAAGTGCTATTACAAAGATTACGAGACATTTGATATTTGAATCCACTCCAGTGGAATATTTATTAATAGCAACTTGGGAGAGACTTCCAATTACAACTGCAACAATCCCACATGTCTGTCAGAAAAAACATATTTCATCAAATTTAATCCAACTTACACAAACAAGGACATTAAATACCACTAGAAAAATCTGCAGACACTTGTAGCCACAGCTTAAAGAGGCCATATTCGAAGGATTGCACAGAAACAGCTTATGAAGTTTATATAGACTCAGGGTCGTCTTCGATCCCTTGAATAATAATAACGTAGTATAACAAGATTGTGAGTATTTTGGTGAGAAAGTAGATTCGAAACAAATATAACCGGAAGCACCAACCATATTGAATTGTTTCTGAGAGACAGAGTCTTTAGTGATAAATAATTCCCCAAAATGAATAGCTCTGTAAGTTTTCGACATTGTATGCTAACCACATTAGTTTTAATGGACTCACCTAGCTGAAGGCGCTCGGTGATGCATCCGCACCAGATCACGAGTCGGAACGCTGTGCTCAACATCTCCTGCAATCCCTAGCTTGATTAGATCAGACGATCCTCGATATATTGATAGTCCATCGAATATTTCTTCGAACCTCCTCGCTTCTGACTTTTGTTTACACATGATGGGTACGATTCATGTTTGAAGGTGTTACTGGTTGAAGCGTTGTCAAACTTGTGATATCTTCGTTGGTGAGCACAACGTAGTCTGGTGCACTTAATTGCAAGCTGTGAGTCCGTTCCTTTTGGGAATCCTGTATATAATCGCTTTGTTTTAATTTTTATATGTTGTGATGTTTTTTCCGTGTTTTGGGATATATGTATATATATTTTTACTGCTTCATTGTCGTATTTGATATTTCACCGTGGCTGAACAGGTACCCAAGGTACTTATTTTAATGACTATGTCCCCACCATCGTTTCAACTAATGCCATTCTGGCCGGACAATATCGAAGCTTGCTTCTGTTATGCAGAGGCGGACTTCTCCGAGCACACCGCGAAAGACACACGTGTGCGATTCCTCGCAGTGGTCAAGGCACTACCGCGCGAATTCGACAGGTACGTAACACCTAGCATGTTTACTAAGGGTGAATTTATCCGCAACGCAACCATGTAAACTTAATGTATCCCCCAGTGTAATAACGGTCATCTGTGCATTCCAGTAACCACAGATTTTGTCATTTCATAATGTATTTTGAGTTAAGTAACTAGATTATGTTGTTAATTTTGCTCTGGTTGTAATTTTTATTCGCCACGTCTGACTGTGTTACACTATGTTCATTGCACGCTGGGATGATATCCCAGGTCATAGTGAGTTTAATCACATAGTTTATTGTTTCCAGATAGACCATGAGTGCATAATGTTACTGAAGGAAGGTTTGTTGTACTGTAAACTATGTTTTTATGAACAACTGACTGACGTCTACTCCCTGAAAGCAATACATATATATATATATCTAATATTCATGAACTAAAGGTAAATTACAACTGCATAAATTCTTTGCTAAAAAACATGTAATTTGGTTATTCATCTATTCCACATTTCTGACTAAATTCATTACTGTTTTTTTCATTTAGAATGCAACAGGAGTGAACCTCCACAGATCCTGAGAACTGTTTCGCCCCTAGAACTATGGCCCTGGGAAAATTTACGGGAGGCCTAACTAACAGCAGATTATAAAAGATGCTGGACGTCCATTTTAGTCTCACAATCACTTACAGTACTTTTTGAGTTACTTCTTTTACACATTCGTTTGGAAAAAAACAACAAAGACTGTATCTTAACATTACCAATGCAACTTTTAAACGAGAACTTCGTTTAAACCTTTGTTTGATATTCGATTCTCAATGGAAATTCCTGAATACATTTATAAATCTAATGCTACTTTGTTTTATCTACTTAATCGGTGCAAGGAAGTTGTGATACACAAGCCTTGCAGCACCTAGTTCATATGTAGTAAATTTAAGTGATTTAGTACATACCTTCGTCATTTTCTTGGGAAACCTACAAACTCGTGTCCTCTCATAACTTATTCTAACAACCATGAGTTGTCACGGCAGCTGATGGACACGCGTTATACATCCTAACCATACCTGCGCCTAATCTCATAACTTCTTGTTCAAGTGCCATACGATAGGCAAGCAATGCCCCTACCCGCTTTAATGGAACACTATTAACTCAAAGGCACCCTGTGTGGTGCCTTACATTGGTCTGCGCACTCGCTTGGCTCTTTAGTGAGAATATTAATACAGTTCTGCTAAAAATCCCATGAACCCCCTATCTGCATAGAAAAAATAAGTCTGTATTTGCTGCATAGAACGATTTTATTTTTCTGAAGTAAGATATAACAGTTAGAAGTAAAGAAAAATGGCAGTATACAGCAGATGCACGTGGTAAATGCCTTCATCGATTAACTGAAATAGAGAATACGGATATTAGCTTAGCAGGCGTATTTAGAAAGACTAGTGTCTACTTTGGACTTACTGCGTGAGAAAGTTATACTGGAACTACGAATAATGTAGGAATCTGGTCTGCCAGGGCGTACGAAGCACTCAAACTGGAAGACAGTTGTCCAAAAATAATTCGAACATGAAGGTGAGAATTTGCAGGTACTTTTCATCGTAAGGGTGAACATATTAGGTAACGGTTGACATCATGACGCAAGAAAAACACAAATTTGCGAGTGGTGAAATATGATCTACAAAAAAGTGAGCTTAGTAACAGTTAATTACCCCTTTACTCCCTGATCATGACACTTCGGCTTCCTTTTATGACCAAAACAGCAAACATACACTACACACTGATAGCATATTTTCGGCTTTTCAATGTTAAGCTTGCTTTAACGCATTACGTAATGAGTACAACTCCTCCATTACTGCTATATGCCATATTTTTTATAACAAACCCTCTGCAATAGATTGGTAGCATCTGTGACTTCGCCTATGGTTATCGGAAGTCTGGGTCTTTTCGAAAATAATACTGATATCCCCTACTGCTGGGCACTCAGCATTAGTTTGACTCGTTGGTGGGATAGTGTTGTTTATAATACTGAAGAAAATTAAAAACCGGAGGTTGTTTCCTATCATTTTGTCGATAACATCATAAAGGACAGTTAGGAACGAACATGCGGACAGTTAGTCACAAGCGGCAGCAACAATTATTTTAGCCGAAAAAACGAACTTCGGCTTCGGATATCTAGAAAATAATTCAAAACAAAACCGATTATCATTTTAAAACATAAGACTAGCCAGCTTGGCTGAAGGAATACATTGACTTGAGTAAAAGCAACAAAAAACAATGCTGATTCGAAATAAATTTCACGCCAACATATAGAACATTACACTAACTGAGGCATTTTAGCACACTGAAACATTAAATTACATAGCTACACAAAAGAAACAGCTGAAAAAAGCACAGAACGAAGAAAGCCGACCGCCATTGCTTACAAAGATGGCGGATATAATAATTCTCGCCTCATTCTGATTGGTTGCTAAGCTGAAGGCCACATTTACGAAATTCAGTTGCGTTTAATAGCAGTCTTTTACTAGTGATGTTTCGGAACCCCACGAAACACTTAATCGATCTATCCTTAAACGTGGAAACCTAACCGATCGACAATGGTTGGACCAACTCCTGAATAACATCGACCTACAACATGGTTCTGTGACAGACATGTTGCTAAGAGTGAGAGAGATTATCGGTCAAAGAGCATTCGATGGTGACTTATTCAGACAACATTTCTTATCCAAACCTTCTCAACAGGAGCAAATCGTACTGGTGTCGTTTCAAAACAACGCCGTAGACGAGCTGGCTACACCTGCCGACCGCATCTTAGAAATCACGAAATCTTGTAATGCCGAGGTATCTTCAGTCATAGAAAAACCTCAAACGACCCAGAATGACATGAAAGAGTTATGTCATACATGTACACGTTATCTTGGATTTCGTAACGACCGTAAACGGTCACATACCCCGCGAGGAGGCATTTCACGTAGGCGAACTGCCTCTGGACCACAAGGGACGGATAACCCCGACTGGTGCTGATATCATAACCAGCATGGAAATTCTTCCGGTAATTCCAGAAAACCTTGCAATTTTCCAATCTCAAAATCGACCGACACAAATAACGATTCGGGAAGCTTCCAAGCCGGAACGCGTTGACGGAAACCGTAGCCGGCGAACGTAGCCGTCTGTTGTATGTCACAGATGTGACAACGAGAGTTCGCTACCTCGTCGACACTGGCGCAGAAGTTAGCGTTCTCCCAGCTAATTCTACCGACCGGCTTCACGAATCGGTTTTAAATGTACAGGTGGCAAACGGAGAGCCTATCGCCAAATATGGTAAAAGGGACGGCTACCTTAACGTGGGTTTACGCAAGCCCATTCACTGAATCTTTGTTGTTCCAGATGTTTCTATGTCGCTCAAATGCTCCACTTCCTACCAAGTAATCCAATTACAAGCAAACTAGACAATTCGCTGAAATCGAAGCCTGATCAAGACCCTATAATATCAACAAAAAAGCGGACTCAAATAGCTTCAACGAAAAAGGAAGACAGCCATTTGGACATCAGAATACTATTTTTAGCACTATATTTCATAAGTGCACATAATTCCATACTTTGAGCTTTTTTCTGAACCACATCCATTTGTCAGTTTTTTGTCCACTCATTCCTTGTTCAGACTTAATTTCTTCAACATATCAGAATGCCCTTTCTTGACTAGTGTTTTAGAAAAATAGAATTAGACTGCGTAGTCATACTTTATCTATCCCTTCGTAAACATCGTCTGCTCTGCTTCTCGTCCTTTCTTTTTCTTGAACCCTCTCTCAGCCCTCTTGTGACATGTCACCGAAAAC